TCTATAAATTATCAAAGGGAAAAAATCATTTTTTCTTCATTCTCTGCATGAAAGCGATCTCTTAACCGCTTATAATTCACATTTATATTTTATACTTCCTGCGAAGTCTATTTGTTGCATTATTCTTTTCTTTAATCCGGGCTCGAGTTGTTATTCCCCCTTACTGAGGCAGCTATGTTCTTCTTGGGTTTCATTTTATTTTCACCATCCTTCTTTGCTTCCCTCACGTTCGGTATACCTCATAGATAGGAGATGATAATGTGTGGTAAAGTAACAAAAGTGTGTAAAATCGATGCCAAAGCTCGGATAAGGACTCAGGTCAACCCCTCACTGCTCAGAAAGGAAGGGAAAGGGATTATTTCGCGCCACCACCAGAGTTTTATGTTCATGTGACAAGTAGCCCCGCACGTATCCCCGGCTGATTACCTTAGCCACCCAAAGCATCATGTGGTCGTCATCTATGGCCTCTGCCATCTCGTCGTCGTCGTCATTGTCGTCCTCGGAGTTATTGGAATTATGGCGTGTCCGTTTATTCGGTAATCGTCCTTTTCGTGTGCGTTTTTCCCCCTTATCGATGTGTTCCCGCCGGTCCTGCGCTCTCCCCTCCGCCACGACGGCGTTGTACGCGGCAACCAGGTTGCACAGCGTGATCCGTGTGCTGTCGGTATGAGGGAGTTCGCTGAGCGCGTGGTGCACGCGCGCGACGAGCATCGCGTAGCAGAGCGGTTTTGTCTGCTGCAAAATAAGATACACGCCTCGGCGGCGCCATACGGCGCCATGCCGCTCCAGCGCCTTCCCGAATGCGACCGGATCGCCCCGCGTGAGGGCCGACTCCAGCGCACCGAAGAGCATCGGGAGGAGCTCGTCGGCGCGCTGGATCTCCTCCGGAATCCGCCACCCGTTCGCGACCCCCGCCACCGCGAGAAAAAAGCGAACCCGCTGTTTATTCCGCCGCTGCGCCTCATTCCCGCTGCCCGCCGGGGGGAGGAGGGTGTACGCCCGGCGAAGGTCCTGATGCGCCTCCGCGAGGCGTCGCTCGTAGATCCGCATTCGGCCGTGGTAGTAATGATACGCGACGACCTCCGACGTCAGGTGTTGCGAAGGCTGGAGGATCGACCGCATCGAATCCCGCGCGGCGCGCGCGCTCGCCTCGGCGTGATCGACGGACCCCAACAACACCGCACATTGGTGGGTGTTGTAGCGTTGAAAAAGAATCTGAAGGAGCCCGTTCACGAGGGCTAAGGCGCCCCGGCGCCGGGAGTGCTCCGGGGCCTCCTCGGCGTCGATCCCTTGCAACTCCACCAACAACCGCCGCCAACTCCGCACGAGCGGGGCGATGGCATCGTCGACGACGGCCCCGCTCGCGCCGCGCGCGAGTTGAGGGAGGTGATGCACGAAATGCAGCAGCACCAGGGTATCCCACCCGATCGTGCCCGTCGTCCGCGGCCCCACCCGCGCCGCGTAGTGCGTCCGCCGCATCCCGTGCATCTCCTTAAACGCCTCAAAGGCGAACAGCAGCCCGCGCAGGAGGGTGTTGTGGACGCTGCGGTCGAGCCGCTCCGCCGCGTTCGCGGCCTCGA